TATTACTGGTCTAACTAGGTCAGTATGTTGTGTAGTATTACTGGTCTGTTATTCATCTCCTGCTATAATAAAGACTTTGAAATGTTGCCCTTCTATTTTATACATCTATTTGCTTGTATTAGTCCAAGTGCAAACACAATCTGTTATTACCAGAAACACATAACATTACGTACATTTTACAGCAATAATCCAGAAACGTGTATTCAGGAAAGAGGGACTCTTGTCCCTTGACTCTGGGACTTTGCTGAAATAAGAGTTTTTTGGAGGAAATGAACAATAATCAAAGAGATTTTATCTCTAAAGTTACCTTTTGACCCAAAGTGTATCCTGGTACCACATACATACAGAGTACAAAGTAAACAAATTATTGATATAGGTTCTACAAGGAAGACGTCTAATTGCCCACTCTCGGGAAAATGTTAACATGATGTTCATGGATTCTTTTTTTTATTTTAATTTTTCTTCTTCCTTTTTACACTTATATAATATATATATTTATTTTATTGTATATATATATATATATATACTCATTATGCCCATATTGATGATGTAACACTGCCATGAGAAGTGAAATTCATCTGTAATAAAGCTGGTGACTTCCTGCCGTGGAAACTACGCTGCGGTTTGTTCCCCCCCCCCCTCATGCTTGTAGGTGTTAAAATGCAGAGGTGGGGGCACTCTTAAGTGGCACCTATTTTCCTTGATTTAATCATATTCCAAAAATTGACTAATTTAATCATGTCACTCTATTCTCAGCAGAAACAGAAGAAGGTCAGAGATGTTGGCTTAGTCATCTTTTTCTGGGACATTTGATGCCAAGTCTAGATTTATATCTTTTATTAATAATCTGAATCTGTAAAGTCACTAAAATGTAGTGGAGTAAAAAGTACAACATTTCTCTCTGAGACTTAGTAGAACAGCAGAACACTGAAATACTTCAAGTACAACAGGTTGAATAAATCCCTGACGGGTCTGCAAACATCTTGTCATCTCGTGTTCGCTGGGTCATTATTTTTGTCACCACAATATTCCCCATCAAAAGGCAGTTTGTATTTTTGTATCTGTGACGGCACAATACATGTTTTTAAAGCACTTTTTTTTACAATTCCACCACCCCCACTCAACTAACGAACCTCGTGTCTTGAAACTGGAAGACGTGGGGAAAGTTTTTTCTGAGTTAAAGAAGGTTACTGGCAGACACATTCAAAACAAAACCACAAAACCTCACCTGCAGCAGTGAAGCAGCAAGCTGAATGTAAAACGTATGAATCGCTTTCATTGAAAATAATAATTTCTGCAAACAAGAGAAAAGCTTTCAAACATTGTTTGAACCCATAAAGCCTCATTTGAGGTTCTTGCAGTGATCCAAAAGTGTCCACAGACACCGACGACATCGAGCTAAATGTGTCTAAAAGGACGTACAAGCTGGAATATTTACATTACTGTGGGAATTAAGACAACACGATACACAGTATACTGTTTATGAGACATTTGTAGAGTTTTAACAACTTTGAAGCTTTTAAAGGAGAAATGAACACCTCTAATAAACAAAGTGATGCGTGGTTTTACCTGAACAGGAAGGGGAAGAACAATCACCTGAGAAGAAATTAAAGCTGTCAGACAAATGTAGTAAAAAGTACAATATGTACCTCTGAGATGAAGTAGCTAGTAGCATTACATGGGAATTCATTTGTAATTAAATAAACTACTGGATAAAAGTTGGATCACCATATATCGGCTACAAATTGCCAGATTAGGAACAGGAAGTTTGTTATTTCCTCTCATAGATAACAGAGTAATTTGTCTTGTTATTGTCTCGTGTTACAACATCACAACAGATTTGACTTGTTAATCCGTATTGGCCAGAAATCAGTGGTGGAAGGCATTTTGTTCGATCTGCCTGGGGAAAATGTTACCTTCATGTGGTTCCTGATGTCGTCGTGTGTGTGTGTGTGTGTGTGTGTGTGTGTGTGTGTGTGTGTGTGTGAAACCACAACCTACTATCAGGAATCTGAGAAGCTGTGAAAAGAGAGTCGCTGGGACTGAGAAGCTCATTCAGCCTGCTGGTGGGACGAGGCTATCAACTGGAAGCTTCAGCGAAATCACTGGCTTCTCAAATTCAAGCCTTCTTCAACACATCAAGACGATGTGCGACTTTGATCTATCTCAAGCTTTAGACAGGTGAGTTCTTTGTGCCTAAACTTACATTATTTTATTTAAAATGCCTTATTGGAAATATCAAGATCACAAGTGAAAAACCTGAAAAAAAATGTGATTTTTAAGTAAATACTTGAAGTATTGAGGGAAGCTGAGAGCATAAAGAGACATATTTTAGTGAACTTGAGTTCAGCGTTACATTGAGAGTGAATGTGTCCAAAAAGGAAACAGCAGTCTGTCGGACTGTTTCACTTCTCACTAACAAGTGTTACTAAACACAACATGGCGAAAAACTGGGACAACTGGCAGCGGTGGAATGTACATTTACACAAATAGCAATGGTAAAAAAAAAAAAGTACTTTACTTGTGTATTTTCATGTTCTGCTACTTTATACTTCTCCTTGACTACATCTCAGAGGTAAATATTGTACTTTTCACTTCACTACATTTCTCTGAGAGCTTTAGTTTCTTCTCAGATGACAGTTTTCATTTTGTTGTGATAAACTGAAGGATGAAGTGTTTCCTTTATGTGTAGATGTTGAATGTTTGTGATAAACTGAAGGATGAAGTGTTCCTTTATG